GGAAGGGGAGCGGCGAGGTGGGGCGCGGGAAGGCCGCAGCGCCGAGTGCCCGCCGGCCGCTTCTCCTGAGCTCCGGCCGGGCTGCGAGCAACGGTCCGCACCGAGCTCTGATGCCTGGTCTGGTGTAGTTGGATAAAATGTGGGTTTAGGGTTGGGTTTTGGTTTTGGTTTTTCTTATTTACCTTTCTTACGTGGTTATGACTATGGTGCTCGATAGCAGTAGTATTGTGCCAAGGTATCAATAGACTCTAAATAACCGCAGCGAGGGAGTTTTCAGCGACGTTTAATGTTGTAATTCTGAGACACCAGGGCAAAAGGGTAGAAAGAGAAACCCCCAAGCTCAATCCTGGGTGTTTATGCTGGTTTATCCTATTCATCTTTGCTCTTTACACCACTGAACAGACTTGAGAGAGCTTGCTGGTACGAATCAGGCTCCCAGAAGAATTTCCTTGGTTGTACTGTTGCTTGCTTGAGTTTTCCCCGTCTTCCTTTCTGGATTTTACCGTGCATGTTGCCACGATGTTCTGGAGCGGGTTATACCGAGGAGGGGTGGTCTTAGGACAGTGAAACTTCTCACAAATTATATAACCAATTTTTGTTATTGCAACAAATCCATCTGCAGTTGGTACAGTTCCGTTAGCCGTTGTGTATGCACACTGTACAGCCAGCAAGGCACCTGCGGAAACCAAGCTCGGAATAAAGCATTTGCTCTGTAGTAGGAATGGACTTAAAATATGCTGCTTCCCTCAAATGGTCCCTCGTCACCAGACGATTTGAACTCAGTAAAACTGAGTCACATGAAGAGCAAGGAGGAGAGGGGAAAAAATAAGCCATGCTGCTTGTTTCTCTTTAGAACGTTATAGATGATTTGCATAATAGAAACATACAGAAACCTTTCCTGCTTTGCCCTTAAACTCACTGCTGTATTTGACCTCAGAATATTTCTCACTACTGTGTGCTGGAATACTCCAACTGAAGTCTTGCGATTGCAGCTTCCAGTCACAATGCTAATACGCTACCTCTGGATTCGGTATTCTCGCCTCTGTTCTGATACTTGCACAAACTGTTGCTGTATGGCATGTTTCCCTTCTTACAACACGAAGGATGCTACAAGCCTATTTAATACAGGAAGGAGTACAGACTGTCTCGTGGTTGCTAGCATTTCACTCACCACTTGCAACATCCTGGACTGCAATGGACTGATCCAGCGGTCCAGTGTACAAGTACTTATCTTCTGAGAAGGAAGCACAGCAAATGCTTTTCAGGAGAGATGTAGACCGAAAATGGATGGTTAGGGTTGGATTGTTATGCTGGTAAATACAGGTTGAGGTGAAGATACCTTAGAGTATCCAGTGGTTATTCAATGCTTAAGAATAGAGGTAATAAATAAAGATTTTTACAAGAGTGATCCTGGAAGGAGAGTGGGAGGTATCACAAAAGAAAGCCCCTAGCTTCTGAAGCACTCCATAGCTGTGCAGGAAGGAGAGCCTAGTGTGACTGTACAAAAGCCCGTTATTCCACCTATGGAGAGGAGTAGCTCAAACACGTCTGTGGTATATTGTCAGGTAAAAGAGGAACAGCATCGATCCAGCCTCCTCCATCACTTTTTTTTTTTCCCTGTACTGGATTCTCCTGAGCTGGCCCAATTTACCCCTTCTGTTGCTATTGTTAACTTGTGAAGTCTCATTCTCTTCAATTTAGATTTGTGTCACCTAGCTTACACTGGCTAAATGAGCAGTAAAAAGCCGTAGATATATAACTCCTATGACTTACGTTTAATGTCAGACTGCTGTTAACACCACTCATTCACTTAGACAGCATTGACACCTTGATAGCGTATCTAGATGTGAGGGTGCTTTAAAATCAGACCTAGACGCTGAGAATAGCTTGCTGCCTGTCAGTCTGAACAGCTACATACAGGATTTGGGTATTCTCTTTGAAAGCTGGGAATCCTGTCAGTTGGATCTTCCCTGACAGCTCAGGGCAGTGATCGACTATTGATAGTCTTACCACTGTAGTACCTTATAATAGCACATCTCGTGTTCCTGCTGACAGAACTCCAAGTCCCAGAGGCACTGCAGGGAATCTTCAGACCTACTGAGTGCCCACTGCTCTCTGTGGCTGCTTTCCAAACAGGAGATCTGGCTTCTGTGACCTTCCAAAGGAAACACTGGGGCTCGAGGGCAGTCATAAAGGAGTAAGTCCCCGCTAGTCATGCCATAGAGGACTCTGTGATCTGCAAGGACAGCCGCTCTGGACATCAGAGAGCCAGGGATCTGAGTTTTAAAAGTGTAGGCAGGCCTGTCGATCACTGGGCATGGATCTGCAGGGATAACACCCAGCACAAGGACTAAATCATCCTGTGCTATGGCAAGCTGCTTTTCCTGCTTGTTGATTGCCGTGTCGTTGACTGGTTTCTGTGACTCTGGAGGTGGGATGCGTGCTACATCCTGCCTGGCGTTCAGTAGAAAGACAAGGACTGTTCCAGATATAAGCCCTGTGAAAAGGAGCTGGTTTTGCTCAGCTGGTTCCAGTCATCTCACTCGGGCGGAGGTGTCCGGTGTGTCACACGCTTCACCTGTGAAACAGAAGGAAATCAGCAAGACTGTTCTTACTCCAGCTGCACGTGAATGTCTTCCCTCAGACGGGGCTCACGATTGGCTTCTTTATTTGTGAAATAATTTGCGTATTATTCATTTTTTCCAGTTTTCCCATGTCATAATAATAAGCTATTCTAGACAAAAACTTTGGAGAGGAGATTAAAAAGCTTTCCAAGCCTGAAATAACTTTTCCTAAATCTCAGGCTTAGAAAAAGCAGGAAGGAGCAGACTATACTTGTCATATGCTCAGAAAGCTAACCCTACCTTTGCTGCCTCTGTGAGTTGTTTTGTTTCTATCCTACCCCGTATTCAGGCTTAATTTAATGCAGTATTTCTGAGATGCCGTTCATCTTCTGTGGTGTTCCAGATGACGACTTTTATGTGTGTCTTCAGTTTGGGTAAAATAGACATAGTTCCCCCTCATGGGACAGTGCAGCGCAGCCTGTATTTGGGATAGGTGCCAAGGTTTTCTGCTGATGATTGTAAATGGGGTTCCACACTCCTAGATACAGTGTGCTATGGGAGACAGAGACCAGAGTGCAGTCGCACAGGGCTAAGAGTGTTACCGGTGCTCCCATGCCATCCAGTATGTCAGTCAGCAACCCCTGGTCTGATAAACTCCACACCTGGGAAAAGTTGAGGGGGAGAAGTCATCAGTGCCTGAGCTACTTTTTCCTTAGTCCTATTTAAGAGGTAAAACAATATACCTTAACTAACTTGTACAGAAACGTAAGTAAAGTCAAAGGATAACATCCTAATACTAGAAGGCAAAACATTGCTTTCTTACTCTAAAACAAATGTTTGAAGCACCTGGAGCCATTCAGCCCACTTGCTTCCTTTGCTCTGAAAGATGCCTAATTAGATCCTGCACATTTTGGACTGTACTGGTTGTTTACCTCTTTCTTTGGCAAGAGATGGTGCTCCAGATGTTGTGTATTCCACCTGGCTCCTGCTCACAGATGGGTAACAAGGCAGCTTTTAGGAGTTCAAATTGAAAACATTTCGGAAATGAAATAGTATTTCAGGCCTGAGGTGTACACTGGCTTGAGGCTGGCCCCCTGAATTGATAAAGTGCTCTCCATTCAGTGTCAAAAATAAAAGGAGAACAGAAAGGCTTGAAGCAATAAAGAGAAGGGTCAGTGGTCATCTTCTTTTTAGAAGCGTGGCAGTACTAGAAACATGTTCAGAACTGCAAATCCAACCCCCAGACAGGTTGCTGGGGATCAAGACGACCCCTTTGCTGGATCAGAGGCATATTCTGTAAGCTGGATTTGTAAGAGATGCTTCTGATTGGGAAGTTGCCCAGCCTTCCTTCCTCCCTACCTGGATAGATGCAGCCTGAGAACCAGTAACAATAATGCTGTTGCCAGCAGTGATAACAGCCGTTATGAACCACTCCTTCACGTTCCAAATGTGCCGCTAGGAACCTGTGGAATCCCTTTGGGTCTGCCAGGTACACTTGCACATACTCCTCAAAGCCTAAAACAATAAAATGTTAGTTACTGATTTATTGAGCTGAGGAAGTCTCTAATCCCCTTCAACACCATGTCCTTATGCATACGATTTAATTCCTGTATTTCTTTAAAGGTAAGCCCAAAGGGTAGCTTAGAAACCCTAAAAAATAATCACGACAGCTTAAGTCTTTTTCACTACTTACATCTCACTTATTCCCTTGAAAAAGGGCTCCTGGTACACAGGCAATGTTCTGACTCTTTGTGAAGAGAATTTCACCTAATCTTTGTTACTCTCTTAAGCACAATAGTTGAATGAGGCCAGGCTAATGGAAAATTCCACATGCTGGCCCCTTTTAAAGGACACTTGGCATGTGGGAGAGCAGCTATTACCAACGCTTTCCTAAGGAATGGGTGCTATTGAATCTGCAGCAAGAATGGACTCATCTTCTGACACCACCACAAAGCAAACCCTTCCAGGAAGCTTCTCTAGCAAACCGTTTCCATCAGAAGAGACCTGCACAAAAATAAGGCAAGAGTAAGCCATGAAGCTGGGATAGCTGAGCTGCCTGTCTCGTGAAGGAAAGAGGATAGATTGGCAGTGAAATTTAATTTGGCTGCATGGTATTGGGCAGAGCTATAAGGTGCGGAAGGATAGAAAGCATTATGCTTGTCCATTTGGGAACTAGGATATGGAAGTCTGAGGAAGATGCTCTATTCGGAATGGAGGAGAGCCCGTTGGTTACCAGATGCGTTACCTGGCTCAGCAAACCTCTGGATATTATAAGAAAATACAAGAAATGTTATAAGAACGTTGAACAGATAGGTGTGTGCCATGGATAGAGATCCCCCGCTAAATCCCACTATCATCTTCCCTTGCTTCTGGATCAGAACACTGGACGTTGGTGTTTCTTCCTGTAGCCCTGATAGCTGACGCTTAGATCTCAGCTCACTGGTGCTGCTGCTCCACGGACTCGGTGTTCCTCCTTCAGACACAGTCATAATCACCAGCCTTGGGCTGAATGCTGCAGAACACACCCATGCAGCTGACACCTCTCCAGAAATCTGGAAGATGAGTTCTGCTGTCCCCAGGTGCCAAGCATTGACCTAGTAAAGAGGTGGCAAAAGAGAGAGGAGTAGTGAGGACTGAGGTAGCTTTTCTGTCTACAACCTTCGTGATTGTGGCTGTAACTTCTAAAGTTCTTGTTCTTTCAGCACGCTTTAAGTTAAAGACTGGCCATACCTTTGTATCTGAGGAAGAATATACAATCATGTGCCACTCATCCACATGAAGGTGATGTGAGAGCTGTTCTTCGATATGTGTATCCTGGATAATAAACCTTGCTCTGCCAGAAATCAAATTCCAGATGCGCAGATCCATGTGATCCATGGCAGCTGAAACAGCACAGGTTCCTTTTCCAAACACTTTCACACACCTCACCTCAGCTATAAAATAAGATGAGGATTCACAAAATGAGGGATTCTCAGTGCTTTCAGCAATTGGGAGAATGCTGGCAGCTGGGAGGTGTCTGTGTGTCTACAGCTCAAGGATCGCCAAGCTGTCAGAGCTCTTTTCAGACATGAAAAGAGCTTTCTAACCATAAAAAGTGGAGAAGGCTCACTGGAGTGCCCGGAAGGGCATGCAGCATCTCCAAAACTTTCATATTCCAGGCAAGCATTGAGCCATCCTGGGAACATGCCACCAGCAGCCAGTAATCAGAACTAAGTGCTATCACTGTGACAGCTGCCATGAGACACAAAGAGGAAAGGCTGTTCTTGATACCACAGACAGGAAAGAGACATTTTGGGATTGTTAATATGCTGTGTTTCCCCAACTGGAACCCCCCCTATACTGTCTGAACCCCATAGTCTGTGCCAAGAGCAAGATTAGGTTCCCTCAGACATATCTAGGTCAGTGCGTGCTTTTGTTGTCCTGACGACAAAATGACCCACTTTATCCTCATTTGTTGAAGCAATTGCGAATGGGACTGGTGCATGACTGAGCACAAAGGCAAATGGACCTTTATCCTGCCTTTGTGTAAGCTCACAGGCAAACTGTATTTCTACAGAAATAGACGTTCTCTCCTTCTTGCTCTGTTTATTATGTTTCTTGGATCTCATTCGTAACAGGTGGATGATCAGATATATTCTTGGGCTGTATCTGTCCCCGGGAATAATCCTACCTTTGAGGAATCCGGTTAGTGTTGTGTGTAGGGGCCCACCAGGTGACTGGAGAAATCCACAGAGTAGAATGAGAACAGGATAGGGACAGACACTGCACCAGCTTAGACACTGCTGGCACAGCTTCCCAATTACCTCCAGGTAAGAAGGCATGGAAAAAAGAAGCCTGGCCAACACTTCTGTGTATATTATACTCACTGCTAAGAGGGCAGAGACAAAAAAAGTGTTTCAGAACATGACTGTGGTGGGCCTGTGAGAGCTACCATAGTTGTATTTTATGTGATGTACAGTATGTAATGAACTGAGCTGGCCTTATCTGGCCAGGTACTTGAATAATATAAGCATAAAACATGGGCAAATGTAATGGTGTGGCAGGATTTTTCCCCTGAGAGAGGAATGGGTATTCTGAGGAGAAGACAGAGGAGGAGCACTGTGTACCCTCTTCTCTAGTTAGCTTTAAAGCTGCAAGGGAATCCAGATAGCTAACGGGTGCTTCTACTAGGCGTGGAGCAACAGGCGCTTTGGTTGTGGTAAAATGCTCTAATCAAATAGACAAAATGTCTGTTGGCAAAGAAGAAACCTCAGCTTCCCATACAGAGGCCCTACCAAAATGAGGCATTTATGAGTCTTTTGATGGATCCCAGAACAGAGAATTTTGTCACTGGTTGTAATTCCTCAGAAAAGTACTTTTACTTGGAAAGGAAAATTCCAGTTCTTTCCTCTGGTAAACATTTGCGTCACGCTCTGTCACTCTGACATAGCTGTTACCTTCAGGGCTGTGTATAGTGCTGACGGCAGGCTTCAAAAGGAGAAGTGTGTCCTGCACAAGGCGTAGTTTGGACAGCTGATGCATTCAGTACACATGGCAAAGTCATCAACACTCTCTATTCCAGAGGCGATTATTTTACGGCTGATCCAGTTCATATTCCCTGCAGAAAGAAATACTATTAAAGCAGAGAACATCAGCCCTGAGAATGCACAGTTATTCTGAAAAGACTGAGATAAAAAAATGCTTTTTTGGGGAAGGAGGGGATAGAAGGATTAACAGCCACTAGCAGTGGAACTAGGACTCATTTGCTGAGGAAGCGGAGGGCTCGCATTGTCACAGTTTCTTCTTTAGCCTCTTAAATGCTCTATGTAGTTTTTTTTAAATTTGTTAGGTTTTTTAATAGGTTTTCTTCTCAGCGTTTGGAGGATCTAGATCATTTATTTCAGCTACTGAAGGAGTGTGGTGATAATTCTAGGATAACAGTTCGTAAAAGTTAGCTTATTTCTCTTTTTCAAGCTTCCTTCTCACAGCGGTTATTGACGCTGTGCAGAAAGGTTGTGATTCTTACCTGTGGCTGTAGGCATGAAGCATGCCTCTGCAGAGCACTGTATACCCCCTCTTGCCCAGTCCTTACCCAGCACATCCTGTTTTAGCTCCTCAATTCATCCAGCATTAAGTAAATGAAATGGCAATTCACTCAACTTCCTCAGATTTGCAACAGTATCAGAGAACCAGAGTGGCTGAGGGGCTACCTAGGAGTAACCAGAACAGTGGATTTGAGACGTGGCTTGTGGATTAATCTGTTTGATTTCACAACTTCAGTGCTAGATGATATCTCAAGGTACACTAGACAGCACTTCCAGGACTTTCATTGTTTTCCTGGTAGTAGGAAATGTTTTTCATGACTCTAAATTTCTCTTGCTACAATCTAAGGCAGGCTGCCTTTCTGCAGATGTGAATAATAAATTCCTTCCTTTCTTGTTGCAGTAGCCTTTTACATATATGAAGACTGCATGACAGAGTTTGTAAAATGACTTTAGATCTCCTTGGTTGGAGATACCTGTTTAAAACACAAACAAACAAAAACTTTGTCATTGTTGAAAGCACTGAATAGTGTTATTTACTATTATTTCCATTGTCTTCTGATTTCAGACCCTGTCCAGCAGTCTGGAGACACAGAGCCCTGGTCCAGAGCTTACAGGTATGGAAATGCCTGCTAATACTCCTCACCTTCCTGTCGGCATTCAAGGTCCTGCTAAAGTGTGGCAACGTAAGAGGTTTCTTCATTCCCCAGCTCCAAGTCCCCTTGAAGAAATCTGCCCGGAGAAAATGCCTCTTGATTCGGTCTTGTTTTGATAGATAACGGTTCTGCACCATTTCAACAAATTGCCTGGGAAGGGAAAAAGTACTAGGTGTACTGGAACAGGGAGCTAGAACTGGGTTTTTTCTAGAGTCTCAGCACTGACAGAGTTTAAGAATGGAGAGGAGTCTAGGCAGGGTGCCTGAAAGCCCAGGATGGGAACATCTCATACTCAAAGGTTTGGCTTCTCATTCTCTGCCCTCTAAAAGTACCTGTGTGCAAAGCAAAGAAGGGTGAAGCCATCTGCCTTCCGTTCTGCCAGGCACTCTCCCATGTCACTGCGTAGCCGTGCCCAGTGGAGAGGAGGAAGGCGCAGGATAGTCTTACTTGAAGGAAGGTGGCAGTGGTGAATCTTTGAGAGAACTTCATTGTCAAGGGATAAAATGTCCTTCAGCTCCATGTCTGACAGTCCATTTCTGCAAGTGAAGTGTGATATATGAAAGGAAATTATTTATCCTCCTCCTTACTGTTTACGCTGCTATCCGTAGTGGGACGGTGAGTGGTTTTTCTGGCAGTTCAAAAGTACTAGTCACCAAAAATCTCACTAGCTCACATGCACACATGGCAGTCTCGGCTGAGAGCTTAGACCCTGGATAAGCCATGGAGATCAATTGTAATCCCAGAATATCTCCCTTCAAGACAGTAGTTTAGGTAGGCTGCCAGGTATGAGAGGAATGTTATGCTTGCTAAATATATGTATGAACGCATTCACAGGCTCAAAGAACTGAGAGCTTTGACTGGTTTTGGCTGTATTTAGTTGGATTCCCTATGAACAGCAGGAAATATGGGCTGTTCCATCAGAGATACAGCAGTACTCACCGTGAGGAAGCAATGTAGCCAAACCCATGAACCACAAGGACTGTGCCATGTGACTTTTCCAGTCTCTCGCACAGACGGTGCATGGCGTCCTGGGCTGTGCTAGCAAACACTAGTTCTGAAGGTGAAGTGTAAGATGCCCATTTTCTGGTCTCATGGAAGGCCAGCTTGAAGAGCAGGGCTTGTCCACCACTAGGGAAGCTCTGACGGAAATAGGCCCGTTGAGCTGGGTTTAGCTGTCGTCTGTCTGATGCTAAGAGCATCTCTAGCATCTCCTCACCTTCCTCACAGGATAAGGGTCCTACTTCAAAGTATGCTTCAGCCTCAGGCACAGCATGTTGGAGAGCTTTCAGACTATCAGGCTCTGCTGTGGAAATGGAAATGATGATGTGGACCTTTGGAGGGCAATCTGTAGGGAGCCAAGTGGAATCTGTGAGCACTATCACCAGAAAGTAACCTTTCCACAGAGTCAAGGAACAACACCAGTGTTTGTGTGCCACAGTGGGAGATAGCAAGGAGGAGTTTACCGAGGAACGAGACTAAATCACTGCAAGCCTGTTTGGTCTGGGTTGGAGGTGGTGGCAAATCAGATGCTAAACACACTTGGAGACAGATGTCCCTCAGCAGGCTGTGAATGGCAGAACTGAGCTGGGATGTCCCCAGTAAACGAATCATGACTACGGTGTCTTGCCCTAAAACAGCTTGCACCCGCTCAGATAGTTTGCACATCACAGCTGTTTTTCCACAGCCTGGTGGCCCATAAAGGATGAGGGCTGTGTGGGTTTCATTATTGTTCTGCTTAATACGGTGAAAGATGTTATCCAATAAATTCTGTCTCCCACAGAAAAATCTGCAGTTCTTCAGGCACAGAGCTGTGTGGTGGCCCAGCTCCTGCAGAAGTCGCCCTGGCTCCTTGCTGATCCCTCCTCAGTATCGAAGATTCTCTAAAACCTGGTGATTAGTGACAGCAGTGAACTGCTCACAAAGTTGTTTCAGGTATTTGTTATTGTCCTTGTGCTTGTGGGTTCCCAGAGTCTTTTCTGTATGCCAGTGTGTGTACTTTGAGGTGTTTGGGATAATGGCTTGCAATTTTTGCTTTAAGGTTGCTGAGCAGCTGTTTGCTTCACTGTCTTCTTTCAGCTCACAGTTTGTCCATTGCCCAATTTGTTTGTTGGAATCCTCAACCTCTCTGAGGAATATGAAAGCCCCCGGGTTGCTCTCCTGGGTATTGAGGAGACCCTGTTCAATCTCCCATTCAATTGCTACAAAAAAACAAAAACAAAAAAATGGGAGATGTGAGCATTCACTTTCAGAACAGAACACAGGAAAAGCCATCCATCAACATTAATGTGACATCCCTTGGTCCTTCTGTATTTCACACGATGCTAGCAGGTCAGCATTCCCCGTGTCCTCTGAGCTAGGCATACTCCTGGATGTGGTCAGGGAGATTGGGGGGAAAAAGGAGAAACGTTTATATCTCAAAAAAACGGGAGATGTGAGCATTCACTTTCAGAACAGAACACAGGAAAAGCCATCCATCAACATTAATGTGACATCCCTTGGTCCTTCTGTATTTCACACGATGCTAGCAGGTCAGCATTCCCCGTGTCCTCTGAGCTAGGCATACTCCTGGATGTGGTCAGGGAGATTGGGGGGAAAAAGGAGAAACGTTTATATCTGGTGTATTACTGTTTGCTAGTCAGCACCAACCTCCCTCCTCAGGATTTGGGGTATCGCAGATAGTTAGCAAGTCTCTTCCTTCCCTGCATCTTTCCTGTTGTGTACAATCTGATGTTGTCTTGAAACAAACAGCTGTCCTCCCTGACAGCTCTGGTTAGAAGGACATTACAACCCTGCCAGAACACGCCTGATTTGTTGTAGCAGTGCCTCTGCTCTGGGCTGAGCAGCTCGCACCTCTCTGCCTCCTGGGCTGCCAAGGCACAGCGCTGAGGCCAGGCGTCTCTCCAGGCGAGGCCGGGCCTGCCCGTCAGCCGGCTGCAGCACGTAGCAGGTGGGCAGCACGTTCTCATCCCGCCGGTACCACTGTGTCAGGAGCTGGGCAGAGTCCCCTGACAGCTGCAGAGTTTGGGCCTCAAATTCCTTCCCCGCAATGAGCTGAGGCACAGTCTGGTGCCCACAGTGGTCCCCCAGGAGTCCCTGCAACAAGCAAAAAAGGTCCAGCATTCAGGCGCTGCTTCTGCAGTGACAGCTGGGACGTGGACTGGTTGCTTGCCTTAGCACCTAGGGTTGCGAGGGAGGGCTGCTCAGAAAACCTGCTGGTAACCACAGTGCCCTTGTGGCTTCCATGTTGGATGGGGACAGCCAGGCAGAGCCCCAGCCTGCCCCATGGTCGGGGAGAAGTGGCTTTACAGCAGCTGCTCCTCAGGCCTTTACAGTGTGTCTAGGGGGGGAGAGTGATGGAGGTGAGGCAGTGGAAGCACAGAGCAGAATTGGTTTGGGGACTTTGGCCAGTGGTGCTCTAAGATTGGCTTTGGGGTGGAGAAGAACTAGGGGAACAGGACTGAGCCTGGAGACTTTTGATTAGGACTGAAGGCTGGGCCGGGGAAGAGGGAGATCCTGAAAAGGGTCAGCATCCAGTATCCATGCAGTCTGGAAACAACCAGAATGAGCTCAGAGCGCAAACCCACAGTGTAATCCTTGAGCAGTGCTCTTCTGGTGGGCGTAAGCGGGAGAGGGAGTAGTCGAACCTTTGTGGCTGGCTCTACTGAGATTTCTAGGTGCACACTGAGAACCAGTCTGAGGAATACACTGCCTGAGTGCCTACTAGTGCCATCTGCATATGCGATATGGCGCTGCTAACAGAGGTGTGAGCTGCAGGGAGCTCAGCGATGGTGAGCTCCTGGGTGCAGTAACACTGTGGTGAGGCTCTCATGGTCTCTGCCCTTCCGTTGCTGGCTTGTGGTGGAAGGGTCTTGAGGGAAATCACGCACAACTTGCACAAATACTTAATTGGTTATTTATTTACTTGTGGCTTCAATTATGCCCCCTGGGACTGCATATTTATTCTCTTTGTTCAGCAAAACTTTTTCTCCCTTTCTAAAACCAAAACAACCTGAGGAAGCAACCTGGCACTTATGCAGGTGTCTCAGCCTCCTCTGCCCTTCTGCAAGGCTTAAAGTTCTGGGTGTGGGTTTCTGTTCGGGGCTGTCACCAAAGTGCTTCAAGGAAGCTGAGGCGGGCTGCTGCCGTGGGGAGCTTTCAGTGGTTAGATGGAGTGATCGGAGGGATTTGCATAGGGCAGAAGCATGGAACAGGTATCAGTTTGCAGTGTGACACCCCGCTCTGTCCCTGGTGGTTGCTATGGCATTTTCATTTCTGGTTCTTTGCGTGGGGAATTTGTATTTATTCCTTAGTTACTGAGAAAACCTCCTCAATATTGAGGTATTGGGCAGGAAGCAAACTTGGAGCAAGAGCTTCTTGCCTTATGTGTATCTCCATCTGGCTCTTCTATCTGCTAGTTAATACACACAACCCCTGTTACCTTCTGCTCCGAAGAGGCTCTGTGTTCAGGGCTGGACTTACATGTGTGTGCCTGTCAGGGCTCCTTTTGTCTTTTAGGGACTACTGGCAGGTATTGACATCTCAGCCCCATCAGCTAGCTGATTTGTGAAGCTGCTCAGGCAGGCTAATTACTTTTGAAAACCACCTTGATTGTCCAGTAGACCTTCTGAGCGCGTGTGGCCTGCCCTGTATGTCTCACTTTAGCCATAGGGATTGAGTATGCACGGCAGTGCTAGCGCTTGCAATGAAGATAGGACCGCCTGACAGTTTCTGACAGCTTCAATTTCCTCCAGAGTTGTGTGTGTCTGTGATCAGGGTCTACAAGCTCAGAAATACCCCATTTCAAGTCAATTACCAGCACAAAAATATTTTTTTTAAGGTTCTTAGACTGGTCAGTACTATCATAAAAACAGTGACATGGGAAAATTAAGTTGTTCTATCGCGTTTAATTTTTAGATCAGTCTGAACACTAGTGGTATGCAACTTTAACTACGGGAACTCTATGAGAGACACTGAGATATTCAAAATCTCTCGGGAGGGTTTTCTCCTGTGAAAGACTTAGGGATTTGGACCATGGATGACCAAGTAAACAACTTAGTTTTTCAGGACAAGGAACCACAAGACTGTAGGTTATTTGCTGCAACATTTCAAGCCTATCTTCTATCATAGAAGATAAGGATCCTAAACATTTCAATAGCCCCTTTTATGCTAGAAGTTCTGTGCAAATTAATATTAGGACTAGTTCAACTACCCCTGAAGTATATCCAGTGGCATTTATACATGGAACATTTTTTCCAATTGAATATAGAAACAAAAGGATGATGTAAACCCTCATGTCCAGGTGCTTGAAGATGATTAGCCACCTAACTCTGCACTGAAATCCATACAACTCAAGCATACAAATATACTTTATCCAAAAGTTCTAGGAAATCGATACAGCAGTATTTGACTCTTAGGAGGCTTCTAAGGAGGTGGAAAACTTATGAGCATTTGGGGTTTTTTCCCTCCATCCCACACATTTTGATGGCCTTTGGGCAGGATAGACAGGAGAGAAGTGCTTTACCTCAAAATTAGGCCATGCTTCTGGCAGAAGGCCTGCGCTTCTGGGTATGCTTTCTCCAGGAGGGTGTCTCTTTCTGAGCCATGTCTGTGTGGAAGGATCTGTGCAGCACAACAGAAGTTAGGAATTTGGAACCAGGTTGTCTACTTGTCATTTTAGACTTTGCACTGAAAATGCAGTTTGTGTTGCTATCATCTAATCTGTGTTGAGTTTCATATAGATGACATTGTGGTTAAGTCTTGTAAAACTGTGGTTTCCAGATGTCTGCAGGCTTGTGCCCACGTTACTACAGTACCAACGTGAGTGCATTTTCAAGGTTCTATACTGGCTTGTCACACTGTGTTTTTATTTGCTAATATGAAAACTCTGGATCAGGAAATTTTGGATTGCATAGTTATAGAATACAATACAGCAGCATTGATCCAGAAAAATGTCTGCCTTGCATCTTGCTGCGGCAAACCCTCCATCCTATTTTAAGACCACTCAGCCACACTGTTGGCCATCTGAGCAGTGATAAATAGCCACACTGAAAGGCAATTCTACCCACAGGGAATCTTTTCATACAGAGTCAAGTCTGTGAAATTTTTATGGCTGCTTCCCCTGCTGTGCTTTTTACAAGAGAGATTACCACTTTCTAGAAAAATCTTTGTGACACCTTTTAAGTGACATATTCACTGAATTAAATCAAACAACAAACTAGGTAAATTTAAGATAAATTAAGAAGACAAAGCAAGTAGGAGAAAAGGTAAGCACATAGATGCACACGAACACAAGCATGAGTGCTCGCTCCCAGCGCCCACATGCATGCACCCTCTCCTGTTCACTGATACATAGGTCTTATATTCATGGATACTTTTCACACCTGCAAAATTAAAAGTCATGGGGAATATAAAGGTCATTTTTCTCCTTACATATGTTTTACCATATGAGATTATAATTTCTTCAGAACTGGAATATTCTCCCCCCGAAATCATGTAAACATTCATGGCACTACATAATCGTGTGATATAGTACAAGAGGGAATGCTAAAATTAGGATGGGGAATGGCTGTATCTGCAGCTTTCCTTGGGACTGTTCTAAGTGAAAAGGGATCACTAATGAAGTCTGTGCCAGCGTCAGATGAGGAAAGGGCTCCCTTGAGTTAGGAATTGTCATGTCTGCCCTGCTGTCCAACAGGGAGCAAGCACTCCTAGCGTAATACCCCTGGAATGATTCATTAGCTTTCACCAAGGTTGCAGTAGTTACGGGAAATCCATGTATCGCTTTACACTCCAGCCCACATGAATTCCAAACTTGACAGTGAGAGAGTGGGTTTAACTTATAACCCTGTCTTTTGGTGAAAATCCAATCACGTCACATCCTTCATCCCAAAACTGTTCTTGAAAATACATGAGGTCTACCACAACTTGGACAGGTGTTGTAGGTAAAATCTTAACACTAGCTGTGTCCTTATATGCCCACTAATTTCAGATTGTCTGCAGTTCTCACACATTCCTTCCAGAAACTGCAGCTGTAACTGTTTCTGTAAATGCTGACCTATCTGCTTAGGCTGGGAACACCTCACTGTCCAAACAGCATATTCATCGCGTTATCTCCTACTGGAAGAGATGCTGCAGCATTTTCTTTCTTTGGAAGGCACTTCTTGTGGAATTGAGAGCCCATCTAAGCCTATGTTTTCTTATTTAAAAATGGAGACAGAGTGAAAGATTTTCAGAAGAAGGGAAATCTGAGTTTTGTAATTCCTGAAAATCTGAGTCATTGCTACCCACTTGCCAGTTACCACTTTAGGAGCTTAGTCTGGCAACTGTGTCCCAGTAAGCAGAGGAAGTGGGAAATATTTGGATGTTCTCCAAGAAGAGAAGTTCTTCACAAATATTTCTTGCTGTTACAGTGGTGGATGGGAATCAAATGTGTGTTGCCCAGGGTTTCAAGAAAGCCTGAGAGTTTTGCTGTCTTGTGCGCAGACAGGCATTGCCCTGCACCGAGCTATTATTGCACAGTAGTGCCTAGGCTGAATTTGGCTTCACTGCAAATGCCATTAGCTCCTGAACTAATGCAGAATTCTGCCATCTCTGACATGTTCTCAGTGCAAATTGGGTGTGACAGAATAAAGCTGTATATAAAATGCAGCAGATTATGGGCATCTTCACTTTCAAATGAAGCTGCAAGCTTACAGCTTCTCTGCTAAGCACAGTAGTCTCACCGCATTGTAACACTTTGCAAACTCTAGCAGAGAGAGTGCCTGATGCGTTCAGCCGCTTCAGGACTTTTCAGCTTATTTACCTGAAAATAGTGAGCTGATGAAGACTCGGACCAGGCTGGAGGGCTGGAAAGGAAGAGGAACCATCCTCCCATAGAGAAGATCCCGGCATGTATCGGGACTGAAGCTCATGCTGCTCTCTGGACTCCCTGAGTTCGCCTCAGCAGAGACTGCTCGTTAGAGAGGAGATGACTAATTGCAATGAACACCAGTCAGTGGTGCCTCTCTCCAGAAAGCTGGCTTGCTCCTTCTTTAAAGGAAAGCCTGGGGAAATTTCAGCTACTTTGACAGGGACAGTAGGAGATGGTTGACTGTCTGCACTGAGATGCAGTGAAACTTCACTGCATCCTGGAGCGATCCAGCTGTATTTGAAGAGGACAGCTATCTCTATAGCAACTGGTGTTTGTCGCTTGGGCAGAATCCCCAGGGTCTCTTTCTAAGGCACTAAATGTGCTCCCTGTCAGCTGCTATACACCTGAGGTCCCTTTGTTCGCTACCCCTGACTATTTTAGAAATACTCATCTGTGTATTTTAGCATCAGGTAAGCCTACCAGTACTAGTATGGTTAATGGTTCAGGCACTCTCAGCCATTTAAAGTAGGTTTCTTAATACCCAGGGAGTATGCCTATGCCCTGTCACTATTTGCCTTCTGTCAAGCTGTGCAAGAGTGAATTTACTAAAAGGTGTTTAAGCTGTGCACAATAAATATTTGCTACTTTATGGCTACGTTTGGACTGGAGTACCGTTCCCAAAAGAGCAGCACATGGGAAAAGGTAGAAAGAAAAATTTAATAATTTACAAGCTCAAAGGCAGGAAACTGCAGCTGTCAACAGAGAACAAGTGGGAAAATAACATCTTTGTCCAAATGCCCTTGGAATGCACAGGGAGAGAAGGTAACTGGTGCAACCATCTCGGCACAGGCCCTAATAGAATAGGTGTCTCCCCCTCATGTTCACAGAGCGTGCTTTTCAATGTCTGTCTTCCACGCTGGTCTGTTTTCCAATATTCGCAGCACGTTGCTATTTCAGTTTGTTTCAATATGTGTTTCTGTATTTGTTCAGTATGGCTTTTCCCATAAGAAATGCTGCTTTCTCCATGTCCTGTGGAAACAGAGATGGTGCTGTACCAGCCAAGCAGATTCACTCACTCGGAACCACTTTCTGGTTCCCCATTTTCTCACAGGAGACCATAATCTATTATTTCTGTGGCTTTTTGCTTTTCCCAGGAAACTGAACTGAGCATGTCAGAGACAACCAGTATCAGTCAGAGCAGCTGCTGTGGTTTTTCTGTTTCTCTCATGAAGTGAGATTTAAGAGGCTGGTGTCTATCCTTGTCTGTACTCCCTCTGTATCCCTCTGGCATACAGAGGAATAATTAAAGAAAAATTAGTAATCTGTATTTATGGGTTCCTTTTGCAGACAATACTTGATTAATCTCCACAGTCATCTAGCCAAATAAGAAGAGATTAACCGACATCCTAACCTATCATAAATCAAACAGGCAGGGAGACGAAGCGTCTTACCTTAAGAGACAAACATTACAGAGAGCCTACATTAGGGTTTAGCCTACATTAGTCTAAATCTAATTTAAGTCAACATTAGGACTCTGAAGTCATGGATTTTTAGACTGTTCTTCAAGGCACTGCAATCTGTGACATGCTATATGCATCTCACCGCATATACCTGTCGTTATTACTGATTACACCAATTCTTGTCACTAACAAATCAAAGAAAATTAGCTCACTCACTGATTCAAGCAGTTGGTTGCAGTGGGACCAGAAGTCCCCAACTAGCAGATCTTTTTTTGGAAAGTCGAAATCTGCCAGCTCGACTGAGAAGCATCAGGGGCTGGGATAATTGGAAAAGCAGCAGCGTGCTTTCTGCAGGAATGCAGCGCGTGTGTTACGGTTTCTGGTGAGCTTTCTGTAATTTGCAGATCAAAATCAAACAAAATCAACCAACCAAATCTTTCCCAGGGACATTCTGGATTTCCTCAGGCTATAAAAATGTTCAAGCCTCTAAACATCTCAGACCTGTTTTCCTGCATTCCACATCTATAGCCTACCTGTACCCTAAAGCTAAGATGAAATCACTTATCTCACACTGATTCTTCCTAAAAGGTTACAGTTCGCAAGCTCTCTAAAAAAATTTCCTCCCCAAATTCTCTTTTGGAACATAAAGGAAACAGATAAAAGTCACGATAGCAAATGTTTTAAATGGTACATTTTTTCTAGGGATAATGTGAGAAAGATGCAAATGCACAAGTGTAAAAGAGAGACCAGACTCAAAGATACTCATGAATGTTGATCTTAGCACTATCAACATCTCCTTTTTGTCAGAAATGTCATCACAGAGCTGAAGTGAGTAGCAACTGTGAGTCACGATGGCAGCGTGGGCTCTGGCATGACAGGGAACTTGTTTTCTCACCGTCTGTCTGTTCCGTGAGCCATCATCCCCCAACAGCTTGCTCACAGACTGCTGCGTTTAGAGACCACATGAGAGCAGGATTAAATTCTTAGCTGGGAGGTAATTTTGTGGGTGTTTACCAAGTAAGAACCACACTGTTGGTGTCTGATGAAATCCAAACCCCTTTAATTGGCCTTTCCTTACTGTGGATGTGCACATGGGACAAACCAGATCTCCTTGGGGCCAATAGTAAGAGCGTCCTAAAGAGGCAAATATCAACCCTCTGTGTGCAGAGTGACTGTCTCCACTTTGGTATCGACGGTGTGTTTTCTCCATTGCTAGTAGTTTGCCTTGTCAGTGTCCTGTCTTCCTAGTAGAGATGGAAGAAGCTTATACCAAATCCAGACTACCTTTGTGAGCTTTCTAGAAAATCTTTTATTGATGTATATTCTGATTTCCCATTATTTTGGCAAAGAACTAAAATATCTTGAGAGAAAAACCTTTGCTGCAGCAAAAAGCTGGGTATCTAAGGTCATAGGAAATGCCATGCTATACCAGCCTTACTTTCCATATAATCCTCGGTCTTGCGTCTTACGGTAGCCAGTTAGGTCCTTTAAAGAATAGCACAAGAACCGTAAAGCAGACAATTATAGCTAAGGGCCCAAATAAAGATGTGCTACTGTGAAATGCATAAAGCTGTAATTTTTAACGCTCCTATGTGTCCTGTGTGCTATTTGGATTGACACTCTCAGCACTGATCTAGTGCTTTACACCTTTAAAGCACCATACAGCCATGAAATAGGCTGCAGGAAGAAGAAGCAGGCATTTGGCAGCTAATCACCTGGCAAGCGTTAAAAGAACAACTTCTCTGTTGCTCAGGAGATGGCCAAGGTAACATCCATCTTTACCTTCTGGGTCTTTCCGCTTAGCTGGATTATATAATTTGGTTACTCTTTGGACAAAATGTGGAAGAATGTACATGCTGTCATTAATAATAAAAGGAAAAGGGGAAAACAAGAACACTGGTTGCTCCAGCTTGGTGCTCTATTGTATTGGCTTTGCCCTTTCTCACATAAGCTTTTCAGTATAGAGATTCTTTCCTTTGGCCTCTTTTTTTTTTTTACTTCAGTTCATTTACTGTGAAAAATTATTAATGTTTTCTGTAAAATTATCCTATGGGTTGTTTTTTTTTTTTCTACAAACACAGTAAGGGCTGTAGAGCTTTCCCTATCTGTGAAGCTGATCTGCAACGATGAAAAAGCTGAAGACACTGGGTTTGGCTCGCACTGTGTAACAGAAAAGGGAAACGTGTCAACAAGAAATGCCGAGAGCAGCAACTGAAACACTTTGCTTTTTCCATCAGGCAACTAGGGCCTCTTTGAGGATTAAACCTATTGCTAAATTTAGCTACATCTCACTGGAGTTAGTATCAGGAGTTATCAGATCAGAACATCTTTGGAGGGAATGACGTCTGTCCCGTGGAAGTCTAAGCCCTGGCATGCTTCTCTCCTACCCTGTGCTGCAGCAGAGTTTGGAGCCGGGAACATTCTGCACAGCCAGCACAGCATGGGACTCTTCAGACATCGTAGGATTTTTCAAAGCACTTGAAATACCTACTCTCATCAGCCTGCTCTTGTTTATTGTTCGGGTCCTGAGCAAAATTTGTTCATAACACTGAAATGGATATCACGGGAGAGGAGAATGGTTAAACCACATGAAATATTCTAGTGCTTTTTTCTGGAGTTTGTTTTTTAATATGCGTAAGGCTTGCACTGACCCTCTTTCCATTGGTTGGGTCATACAGAGACTTTAAATCCCACACTCCCATGCAATTTGTATTCTCAACTGCTCTGATGATAAATTAAGGAGTATTAATAAACATTTTAAGAGAGTTAGGTCTGGGGGGAGACAAGTAAAACCCTTCAGAAAATAAATAGCCCTTTGCAGGTCCTCGTTTAGTGAGCCAGGTAGATGGACTGCATTGTGTTTTCCTCATCACTCCCATCTCTGTGCCATGGAAGCAAGTTACTCCATCCCTCTAGGAAATGCCCAGCTACCATTTTCATTATGGGTGGAGCAGAGTCCTAAGGAAGAAGTGTATGTACAGGTAAATTAGGGCTTCTCAGAAGTGTAGAAGCAGCCCTGTAGAACCCTGTGTCCCTGTAGCAATGGTTAAAATATGCTGCTTTTTGAAAGATCCATCTTTGCTTCTTGGGATGAAGGACGCCTGTCTGGAATTGTACCAAAGACCACCAGCACTGAGCCATGGAAATTCAGGAAAGGTTCCCTATCTCTCACTATGAAAGGCCTCACTACATGAAACTTGTGACTCTTCTTTACGGCAGTTGTCTTCTCAATACTAATCCCTTTCCAGATAAGGTACTTCAAAGGCGTACAGAGCTTTAATTTTAACATCTCTTGGAATACTTCTCCTATCTGTTCTTGGTTAGTAGCTATGATTTGACTCAGGCCGAAAGACTTTGAAGAGCAAGGACTATGGCACTTAGAAAGCAGAGCAGCAGCTAACAGTACCATGCTAAATAAATATTCACACTCATTCAAAGCATTTTGGGTTTTTTTCAGTTTTAAATAGAAATACTGAAACTCCATATAAATATGCTAGAATTGTGTGTGTGTGGTTGTATGCGCATGTGTATATTTACCTGTCCCAGATGAATGTCCTCCTTCCTCTCATAGCGACAAAAGGAAAGACAGAGTCAACTGGTA